AGGAGAGGACTCATATTCTATGGACTCCATAGAGTAACTTGCCATGAAATGTCAGGCCCCACTCGCCCGGGCCTACAGGGAAGATTGCCCCTCTCGAGGACAACAAAGGACTTTGCTAACCAAGTAACTCACCACTCACCTCAAGGTACGGAGGCAACCTATACAACAACTCGCCCCAATCTTCCCAAAGGGCTCTCAGCTTCCCACTATGACCTACCAACCACTGATTTCATCTTCTCTGAAGCATCAGTTCACCCGCCTTTCCTCCAAAGCAATCTGAGACTTTGCGCCAATCACCAACACTCCCCCAAATACCATTCAATATCCCCACTTGCTCAGCACCCGCTAGCAGACTCACCCAATCCTACTTAGCACAACAAAGCTCCCCCACATCACGGAGCTCACCTAGTACATATTTGGCACCATTGAGCTCACCTAGAGATAGATCATCATAGCTCAGCGCCACTGAGATCACCTACAAATAGATCATCAGAGTTCTGCAACCCTATGCTCTCCTTCAACCAACCCGGAGAAGACACGTGTCTAGGATAGTCTATGTAGCATTGTACCTTTTTACTTTTGGGGGCGTAGCCTTTTTTGTAACCCTCAAAACTCTACAAATGAGGGGTCAAGATGAGCATTTGGCACCTTTTTATATCTTCGAAATATTAAGGTACTTGTATATTTATTTGTCTGATTGAGATCCTAACAATTATTTCAGCATTTCTTTAGCATCCTCCCATTTTCTCCATTATCACACATATTCTTGGTTGCACACTCACAAGTTGACCTACTAATAAAGTAGGATGTTAACCATAGATAAATTTGGATCCAACATGTTGTAGCTGCAAGAAAGCGATCGTTTGACTTAAATAAAACATATTTATAAAACCAACTGAATATTTCAAAAAATATATTTTATTTTAATAACTTCACCGCCATCTTTATAAAAAGCAGCAGCCATCACAAACAGAACCTAAAAAGCAAGACAACATATATCAAAATATCTTATGATTAATAAATCATGAGTAATAACTAAAGCCAACAAAACTGGGCTTAACAGCCAGCAAACTAAATTGCCCCCTCCCCCCAAACATACATAAAATTCCCAAGGATGCTAATTGTATGATTTCCCCCATACAGTGACTGGCTTGTCGTTGTTTGAAATCTCCTACTGATGTAAGCAAAAATTTGGGAAGGGCCCCAAATTTTTTATTACAAAAATAAAACCTTACTAGGATAAAGAAAATTACACAAAATAGACAAAATAAGAAATAACACAACTTTTTATAATAAAAGACTCCTACAACTCTTGACACTTACAAACTTGACACAAACACAAATTAAAAACACCTAAAGTTGCATTCAATTCGTTGCTTTGAGAAGAAGGATACATGTGGAAGGGAACTTGCGGAGAGACGAAAGAGATTAGAAGGCTAGTCAAAGTAGGGGAGTAACTCGCAAGTTATCCCAAGCTAGAGAAGAAGAAGAAGTGGACAAAGCTACATCACCTACGCATGATATCAATTTTACTCACAATTTAAAAAAGCATCATGCTAGCCACCAAACCTCTCCCTCTCATCACTCTCTCCATTCTACTCTCATATCTTCCCCCAAATCATAGCCGTTGATCCCTTTTTCCTTTTTCCGAAAACCTAGCCTCCAACCTTCCATCTCCATTGACACTTCCTCTTCCTATTTTGATCGAGAATTCAATAAATAGCAAAGTCTTATCCTCATCTTCCTCCTCCGTCAATTGGAGAATCCTGACAACTGTTATTTTTCTTTTTCTTCCCTATTTTCTCTCATTTCCAATTCATATAAATATATATTGATAATTTAATTTACTTTTGATTATGATTGAACCCTTTCATAAGAATACTATTGAGAATATATTAAATTAGAGTACATTTTATTTTGGTGTTTTTTATTTTGCATATTTAATCATCATAAACAAAGATTTAGGTTTATCCAATTTATTTTAAAGAAAATCATATGGTTAAGATCATAGTATAGAAGTCTATTTATTAGACTTGATGGTATTGCAATTTAACTTGTTTATGCTCAACTAAAAACCATTGATGGACCTTAGGTTTTGCATATAAGCCCCCTAACATGCTTTATATATTAACATAGGATTTTTATTTGTAAGAGGTATAGTTGAACTACATTCGACTTCATTAGCTGGATCTCAAATAAATTAGAATCTCGAACAGTTCATCTTGAGGTAAGTAGTTATTTATTATAAATTAAAATGTACCCTTCTTTATTAGGCATATTATCCTTGTTATTTATATTAAATTATTGGATATTATAGTTTATCAATCATGCTTTCAATATTGATTTATTTTTATGCATTTATAGTAGATATTGTTTATTCATAATGAAATAATCATGAAATATAGCCAATATTACCTTGATTTATTATGAAAACTCTTATCCATTGAATTTGATTCCTATCATAGAGAATCTAGTCATACACATTACTTCCATTAAATGCGATAAATGATACTCCTGCAAATCATATTGGTTGTAGAATTAACAATTCCCATATTGAGTTTATAATACATGTTAAAAAATTGCTTATGAGAAATATGAAAATTGTATGTATGTGAGTGATGAGGAATTTACTTTTTTTATGCAAATTGCTACTATGAATGTGTGTGCTATATGCACTGCATGATGTTTTGTTGGGGCGTTATCTTGAATGGAAAAATGATCAAGACTAGAGTGTTGTGATGCTCTATTTTGGCGTTGGGGCGTTAAAGGCGTTGTGGGGTAGGTGTTTGGGGTGTTGCGGCGTAGGTGTTTAGGACACTGCGGCGCTGATTCTAACTTTACAAATTTAAGATTTTAACCTAATACATTCATGCACAACATCAACTAAAACACATGTTTTTACTAGAATTTATGACAATAATAACAAACATAATTTTTACTTAATAGTGATCAATGGTATGTAGGTTAGTAGAACCCTTTTAGGCCCATAAAGTGTTGACTCGATAAAAAATCATTGGATAGGTGTTTAACTTCCCAATGTAGGGTATTTAACCAAAACAATTATATGCGCTAAAAATGATGAATGATTGATAGGCCATATTGAGGTACAATGATGACATCTAATGTGATTTCATATGGATACATTTGAATCAAATTGTGTTGATGACAGTTTGACATACACGTTTGCGATATTTTAATACTAAAATATGTTGTAGAAAGTATGTCATGTTTCATTCATGCATTGAGCTATCGATTATATGTTGTTATGTGATTATTCTTCCCTCTTTGGTTATTCATGTTGCATGTTCTATCTTCATATCATTTATGCTTCAGTATATAGGAGTTGATTGTTGGATTTGAAATTTCAAACTCACTCATTGCTAACCTTTTTTATAGCAGTTCCTGACAGAGTGTATAGTGCAATATATTTATCAGCATTAGGATATATTTGAGAGTTTAAGTGTTGCATGTTCCATCTTGAGTAGTTGTATTTCGTTAGTTTCTTTCTTCAATACTCTTTCCATATGTTGTTATTCTCATTTCATTGATGTACTATTATTTTGATTTATGATAACAAAATTTTTTTTCTTTTCTTTCTATTGTTTACTCTAATATATTTTGTTATATTACTTGTATATGAAATTTTTTTCTTAAGAGCACAAAACATGTTCAATTTATTCTTTCATCACACCCTGTGTTGCCAGGGTGGACCAGGGATATGACGTCATGAACATCAGAATCTCCATTGTGCAAGAACTCCATTCACTTAATTGTTTAAATAAACTTTTTACAAGAACGGCCACAAGCTTAAAGATAAAACAATCTGAAGTGGCTTCCAAAATACAAAATTCACTTGTCAGAGCATACTCCCACATAAATTCAATGGAGCTTCTTCTAGTTGTGCTGCTCCTTTGAGCGAGCAGGACAATGGTGAAACATAAAACTAGCTAGTAATAAGAAAAACAAGTATTTCATGCAAAACAATACTTGTCTAAGCACACAAACATGTATTATAACAGTCCCCAAAATCATAGGCACCCCATATAACTGTCCAATCATGATTCTCATATGGGCGGCATGCTATGGCAAAATCCTACTATCTTGCAACATAAAGAACATGTGCCTCTAATTTGTTCCTAAAGTGATTGGTCCATTAAAACTTCGGGATTTCTATGTCAATAGGCTTCTAACTAAAGAAAACTCCAATGTTTATCACCCAATAATTGTCGTTATCATCGCCACCACCACTATCCCACCATCTTGATAGTGTCTAACTGAATTCTTCATGGCATTCATGTCCCTTTAAAGTTACCAAAAATTATCAAGTGTATGTGCATACAAGATCTTCATAAATTTGCAATCAAAAAGGCTTTATCTCACCCAAGTTAATATTTCTGGATATAAAAAAGGGATAAAAAAACTCTTTCTGAACAAGCCATAGAGATTTTCTATAGATTTCATGCGATATTTTAAGAGAAAACAGGAATTCGCGAGTTCATAAGTAGGAAGCATAGCAATCATGTCAGTGCTTCATTTTACACCGCATAACCAAGACATCTTGGTCAGTGCATTAGACTTTCTGGACTTCTAGGTTCAACAATAACATGCGAAACGAAATCTAAAAGGTCACTTGAATACAATCAAACTCCAGAACCTACAAACGCACCCACGTGATCCAATCCAACATTCAATTATGATTGAAATAAACTTCTTCATCAACAAGGCAAGATCCTAGTCAGTTTTGTAAAATCTGAAAATTGCATCACAAAATTGTCAGCTTTATCTTTCCTGGTATACCTTTGATAACGGTTGGTTCCACGAAGGCCTCACTAATTCCAATTTCTAACCAAGAAAATCCGACAACCCTAACAGCTTCAATAGACTCTAGGAATGCCACAGTAAAAAAACATTAACGCAACAAAATCAACACAATGCAACCGCTCTATATACCTCGACACAAAAAATATCCAGCCAACCACAACACGCAGTGACGAACTCACCTCATCCGAAGGAAGACGGAACAGCAACCTATACTCCTCGCTTTTAGCCGAGAACACCTGCGTACTCAACAACCCGATCCACAACAAAATAAGCGAATACAGAATGCGAACAGACAGAATAACAGAGGCAGGGAGAGGGATTACCGACACATCAGCTTCCTTCTTCTCAGAGTTCTCACCAGAGTAAACAGAGGATGTCTCCGAGGCGGCGTCGCCTTCCGGTTTCCCCGCCCGGGAGGGCGTGGAGCGGGCGGATTGCACCACGTCGGAGCACGATGATTCCATTCTCTCCCTGCTCGGCGGGGCCACGGCCATGGATCGGGAACCTAGGGTTTCGGCGCTGGAGTCTGATGGATCTTGGGGTAGGAGTTGGAGGAGAAGGATCCGTCGGCAATGGATCGTCTTATAGAGTGGCGTTTACTGGCGACAGACTCTGAAGAACTCGCAGGAGTTAGAAAGTTGGAAGGGAGGCCTTTGACGACGAGTCGACGACGGGTGGGAACTCAAAGGTTAATAAATGGGCCAGTTTCGACGTTTAAGACCCCGCGACTCGGCCAATACGTGCGTTGAAGCGTTATTATTCACGGGTCCTCAGCTGGGTCCACACGTGACACGACTGGTCGAGTTGCAGGATTAGAATTCATAGTTAATTTAAATTATTAAACATTTATTTGATTTTTTTTTAACATTTAGATAAATTAAAATAAATTTATACACATATTATGTACGTAAGACTCGAACCCAATAGCTCTTAATTAATAGCCAAAATTTCCAACCAATTCACCAAGATATATACAGATTTGTCGTCGTCAAATGCCTCATGGTGCTCCTTCCAGCTTTCTAACTCCTGAGAGTTCTTCAGAGTTTGTTTCCAGTAAATGACACTGTATAAGATGATCCATTGCAGACGGATCATTCTCCTCCAATTCCTACCCCACTACCCATCATACTCCAGCGTCGAAACCATAGGTTCCCAATCCATGGTCGTGGCCCCGAGAAGCATGGAGAGAATGGAATCATCATGCTCCAACATGGTGCAATCGGCCCAGTCCACACCCTCCATGGTGGGAAACATGAAGGCGATGCTGCCTCGGAGACATCCTATGTTTACTCTAGTGAGAATTCTAAGAAGAAGGAAGCTGATGTGTTAGCAATCCCTCTCCTTGCCTATGTTATTTTTTATGTTCGCATTCTGTATTCATTGATTGAGTTGTGGATCGGGTTGTTGAGTACGCAGGTGTTCTCGGCTATGAGTATAGGTTGTTGTTCCGTCTTCCTTCAGATGACGTGAGTTTTTCAATACGTGTTGTGGTTGGTTGGATATTGTTTGTGTCGAGGTATATAGAGCGATTGCATTGTGTTGATTTTGTTGCATTAATGTTTTTTTATTATGACATTCATAGAGTTTATGGTTATCGGATTTTCTTGCTTAGAACTTGGAATTCACAACTAATTTATAATGAAAATGAATTCACACAAACTTTTATTCTTTATTTGCTCTACTTATTATATACTAGTATAATTGCACGTACACTAAGTACACGTGAATAAAAAGTTTAAAAATAAAAATATAATATTATTTTTATTTAGTTATATGATTACTATATTTATTTAGTTGTATGAAAAAATAAGTTTATCTGTTAAAATAATACTATATTTATTTAAAACATAATATTAATAAAATATAATATTATATTTTTTGTTATATGAATAAATAAGTTTATCAATGAAAGTATTTGCAATAATGATAATATAATGAATATATATTTACTCACATGAAATCATATCTTATAATATATAAATTTTTTTTTAACAATTTGGCAAGAAACTAAAAATTCCTTGTTAATATATTTAAATAGTGTCTTAATAACAATCAAGTCATATTTCATATGATGCCTCAAAATTTCATTACAAATATAATAATTTAACATTATGTTAATATACTAATTTCAAAAGACAAAGCAAAAATAAATTAAATACGAATTACTTGTGAAACTCACAACCAACATAAAGACGTACGATGGTGATTAATATACAGATATGTATTCATATATAGTTAATTTTCATGCAAATTAGATATAATAATACTTGATGAACAATGAAGTAATATAGCTCAATATTGCTGACTTAATTCATTTAGGCATAAATCAATTAGATGTTGCCGTTGAGCTTAAAGTCATCAATAATCCTATACATTTTCTTCATTTCATCACAAGGTCCTTTGATGCCTTGCCACATTCTTAAATAACTTATTTAAGATAAACAAGCTCCCACAATCTTGGATTCTTAATATAGAGCTTAATGGATAAGATTAAAAAAATTAATAGAAACATCTAATGGCAAAGGATGAAGATAAAGGAGAAGCTCAATCATAAAAAATGAAATAGAAATTAATCAAATTACATAATTGTATAAAAGAAACTACAAAGTTCAAATTATATGAAATATAAACTAATTAAATTAAGAGTTGAATTTAAAAACTATAACTCAGTGTATCATGTAAATATGAAAATATATAAATTAACGACACAAATTTATTCTTTTTTTTTTTTATAACAAGAAATTCTATTCCATAAAAAGGAACAAAACATGAGCAAACAACATGTAAAGAAAAAATACACGGTGGAGCAACTGACCATAAAATAAAAGGGGAATCACTGAAGCGGGCTCAGGTAATGGTGAAACATTGTGATCACCCAAATAAAAGACAAGGGCCCTCCAAAGGGCAAGCAACAGGCCAGCAAAACCAAATCCTGCACGAAGACCAGCAAGAAGCCGCTAGTAATGGATGAAGAGGTGAGACCCCTGCTTCAGCTTGACACCTGCACGTTAGCGAAACAGAGAAAGCAAAGAAGAGCTAAGGAAGATGAGATAATTTTACTGTAGCAGCATATGCATATTTCATATATTAAACCATATAACTGAGTACATATATATAGCAGAAACACAGGGAGCAACAACTGAACAAGCCGTTGGTGGCAGAAGGCGTATGGAGCAGAATATCCTCTGAAAAGGATTAGCAGTTGGTGGTCCATGCGCAGAAAGGAGTTCAGATGAAATGAGTTCTAACGTAGTGCTAACAGTCCCCCCTCAAGTTGATCATTGAAGTGTTGGATGGTCAACTTGGTGCGTAATTGACGAAATCTGGAAGTAGACAATGACTTCGTTAAGATGTCAGTCGGCTGATCAAGGGAGTGAAGATGTAGAACTTGAATCGCTGATGATCGGATATGATCACTAATGAAATGATAGTCCAGCTCAATATGTTTAGTCCGCGCATGAAAAATCGGATTGTGAGCAAGAGCAATTGCAGAGGTATTGTCACAATAGATTGGTGTGGCAGCGAGCTGAGTGGCCTGAAATTCTTGGAGAAGTCTTCTGAGCCAGATCACATCTGAAGTGGCCGTGGATAGTGCACGGTATTCAGCCTCTGTGGAAGATTTGGCAACAGTAGGTTGTTTCTTAACTTGCCAAGAAATTAGAGTAGAGCTGAGAAATGAGCAAATACCCGTGACTGATTTGCGATCAACTTTGTCAGCAGACCAATCTGCATCCACATATGTACTAAGTTGTAAGTCTCCTGGTGAAATTGGCAAGCCAAAATGTATGGTTCCCTTAATGTAGCGCAAAAGCCGTTTAAGGAGAAGAAAATGTTGGTTGGTCGGCTGATGCATGAACTGACAGATGTGATTGGTAGCAAACGTTATATCTGGCCTTGTAACAGTGAGATACATAAGAGAGCCTGCTAACTTTCGGTAGAGGGTGGGATTTGGAAAGGGCTGGTCAGCATCTTGAATGGAAGGAAGCTTTTGAGCAGAGGGAGTTGAAACCGGACGATAATCTGTGAATCCCGATTGCTGTAACAGATTTTCTGCATAGAGACGTTGCTGTAGAAACAAACCATGAGGAGTGTGCTGAACCTAAATTCCGAGAAATGTGGAAATTGAACCCAGTTCTTTTAAAGAGAACTCAGCTTTGAGTTGCTAAATGAGGAGCTGTATAGTAGCTGAGTTGTTTCCTGTAAGTAGGAGATCATCAACATAAATGAGGAGATAGAGTGAAATTTGCTCTCGTGTGTAAATCAGTAAAGAAGGATCTGATTTGCTGATAGTGAAACCAAAGGCTTTGAGAGAGGTAGTCAGTTTGTCAAACCACTGTCGCGGCGCCTGTTTAAGTCCATACAAAGACTTATGCAATTTGCAAACATAATGTGGAAATTGCTCATCTACAAACCCGGATGGTTGTTTCATATACACAGTTTCAGGAAGATCGCCATGTAGAAAAGCATTTGAGATATCAAATTGGAGTACCAGCCATGCACGACTAAGAGCAATGATGGAAGAATGCGGACTGTAGGCATTTTAGCAACTGGGCTAAAAGTCTCCGTATAGTTTATTCCATATTCTTGAGCAAACCCTTGAGCTACAAGCCGAGCTTTATAAGTGGGACCTTGACCGTTGGGAAGTATTTTAGTCTTGAACAGCCATTTGCAACCAAGAACAGAGCCGTTAGTCGGAGGAGGAGTTAAGGACCAGGTGGACTGTTGTTGAAGAGCAAGAAATTCTTTTGACATGGCAGCTCTCCAACATTAATGAGGATATTTGCTTGCAATAGTATATGATGTAGGAGTAGAAGAGGGGGAGTAAACAACTGATAAGTCAAAGATGACTTTGGGTTTAAGATGACCCGTTTTTGTGTCGTTCATGTAATTTGGGAAAATGCCACAAGTTACCTTTTGTATCTAGTACTACTACTGTTTCTACGCCTGGCTCTGATACCATGAAGAGGTGAGACCCCTGCTTCAGCTTGACACCTACACGTTAGCGGAACAGAGAAAGCAAAGAAGAGCTAAGGAAGATGAGATAATTTTACTGTAGCAGCATATGTATATTTCATATATTAAACCATATAACTGAGTACATATATATAGCAGAAACACAGGGAGCAACAACTGAACAAGCCGTTGGTGGCAGAAGGCGTATGGAGCAAAATATCCTCTGAAAAGGATTAGCAGTTGGTGGTCCATGCGCAGAAAGGAGTTCAGATGAAATGAGTGCTAACGTAGTGCTAACAATGGATGCCAACGAGCTATACGATCAGATAGCACAGACTCATCATTGCCCATATTAAAAATCTCGTCCACACTAAACAATCTAACAAAAAATAGTTGCAAATCCAAATCCAAAGAGCCAGACAACCAATTAACCAAAACATCCAAACTGAGGAAACTCCAAAAAGCTTATTTGGATTTATTGCGACGACAATTTCCCCCAACCAAGGTAAAATTATTTTCCACGAGAGGATCCACTTGCACCTTATAGGATTCATGAACACCCCCAGAAGAGTCAGTAAAAACTTCCCGATCCCCATCCAGACTAACAGTGGAAACATTCAACCAATATGAGTGGTACACATAGCAATCTCTTGACTTGCCTAAATGAACTTATAAAGCAACATTAGAAATTAGAGACACTGGCACATCAATACATTGAGCAGGCGTAAGAACCCCAACA